CATTCAAAGTCCTCACATACATCAAAGCGACATTCAGCGACGCACGAGTCACAATCAGGTGGTGCCCTGGACACAGTGGCGTCAAAGGTAACGAAATTGTTGATAAAATAGCTAACGGTATGGCGAAGCGTGACTTGCCGAGCACCTTTACCTCCACTCCATCCCTAGCAGGATTCACCACGGCGATCAAGGCCTGGTCCAAACTCGACGAAAACAACTTTAGCCAAAGCGACATCAAAAGACTTGGACAACAACCAACGCCTACGAAACACATCAAGGCACTAAAAGGCCTCCTCAAACACGAATGCGCGACGATAACACAGCTACGCTCGAACCACGTTTACCTAAATTCTTACTTATTCAAACACAATCAAAGATTCGACCCCGTGTGCAATTGCCACGAGGGTATTGAAACAACTGAACATTTTCTATTCATTTGCCCTAGGTTTCAGAAACAACGACAGAAGCTGATGAACGACATCAATGAGATGCAACTTCCAGAATCCACAGATATACTCAAGAATCCGAAGGCATTCAAGAGCATCACCAATTTCTGCAACTCAACCTGGAGGCTTAAACACCGATGGGTTTGGGCCAACATAACCAAAGAAGAAACTCCTCAACTCTCCACAATCCCCTCAATTTAATCATTTCATATGTAACCCCATCCTTTAGCGCCACAATTAGAAAAAAATAACACTTGTAATACTTCAAACAGCCAGCACGCGTCCTTTTCCCCACAGGGGTTTTTACTGGAGCGGAGCACAAGTAGTTAAAAGTGCCTGATAGCCTACGGCTCAGGAGGCACTCAAAGCAATGCATTAAAAAAAAAAAAAGATCAACGTTCAGAAACATGGTGTGCGTGCACGTATAACATTCAAGCAGCCAGCACAGCCAGAGGCATTTCACTGTTCAAGACTGAGGCGGGGATGCCCAAGAGTCTCATAACATCATAAGTCATCTCTGACATAGAACCTCTGCCAACAAAGATTTCTGAAACACTTGAATGATTGTGTTGGAATTGTCCACAAGTATCTGTTCAGTAAGTTTTTGGCAGCTTTACAATCACAATTTGATGTTGCTTTATCTCATCTTAAGGAATCTGATTTGATATTGATTCATCATTCAAATTTCAGGGATTTTTTCAAGAAAGATGCTCCTTGTGCAATCACAATTGCTATGACTGGTATTCCGATGGCTCCTGGATTCCACAAATGGCCACACTGTTGTGATATCATGGCAACTTGTGAGAAAGGTTGTTGGGCCCCTGTGACATATTGCTTGAGTGTACCTGTGTACCTCTTCCTGAGGACCACAAAACTTGTCAGGAGACCCTCAAATATGCAGATTTCTGTTGCCAATTGTGTGATCAGTACTAGAGTCCACCTTTGTTGTATCACACAATTGGCAATGGAACTCCACATATACAAGGGGCTCCTTGCAAGTTTTGTGGTCCTCAGAAAGAGGTACACAGGTATACTCAAGCAAAATGTCACAGGGATCAACAGGTACCCTTCTCACAAGTTGCCATGATATCACAACAGTGTGGGCATCCACGGAATCCAGGGGCCATTGCAATACCAATCATAGTGATCAAGATGGCAAAAGGAGCATATTTCTTGAAAGACATCCCTGAAATTTCATTGATGGATCAATATTGATCTTGTGCTTCAAGTCCTCCCATAAAAGAAGCTGTTCTAATGTTCATGATTAGATGCCTCAAGTGTTGTAGTTGTGCATATTCATATTTGGGAGGAATTGGGTTCTGTATCATTTCACCTGTTTGCATTGATTTTCTATGTATTTTGGCTCTAGTGACAAGTTCTTAGTATAAAAGGTGTCCAATTCATATGGTGGTTTTGTATGAAGAGGGATGGTAAGTGCCAAAGGATCTATCTCATCAGACGCCCCAGGGGCAAATGTGGGCCAATTCAGCCTCAGGTGCCAGGCTGGATCAAGATTCAAGACACTTGCACATTTCCTGACCTTTGTCATTTTTTTGGTTCTTCCAAATGTATGTTTTAAAATCTTGGTATACCTCAGATGTGGCACTGTTTGCCTGGAATGCTCATCCGCTTGAATAAGCTGAAGAATGCACATTTGCAGATCAAATGAGTCTTTCATGTCCATGTATCAAAAGCCACATTGTGAAATGAAGGACCTATCATGTCTTCTGCCTAATTCTGTGTTTTTTAACTTTGATCCATCCTATCCGTGATGGATGTTCAAAATACAAATTCCCCACATCCCACAGCGCCTTTGCTACCATCCATCTTCTGCCACAGGAGCGATCAGCCATATATCAGAATCAATCAGAGATCTCCAAAAAGTTTTGTTTTCTCCACTCTAGGAAATGATGAATAAGAGACAGGGAATTGATGCAAGAGGAAAGTCCAATAAAATAAGATCCGGAACGTGGGCATGATGGAGATCTCCAACTCTCTAGAGCTCGAAGCTTCGAAAGAAAATTATTCTTTCCGACAGGGTGCTCTCTGTCGTACTCTTGGGTTTGCTGAGGCATCCAAACTCAAAGCCCGCACTATCAATTTACAAAGGGTAAATCAAATGGATGCAGATATGGGTCCCTCTTGTGTTGCATCCAGATCAATTAATGATTTTCAAAATCATGTGAACTTTTCAAAAAGAAATTTTGTCCAACATGCTGATACCAGCATTGTGGGAAAAGAAGTAAATGCGAAATCTAGAGCGCAGAAAAGATGGGCGCGAGGGTGTTTTTACTCTGGATGAGCTTGATTTGTGGTGCGAGAAGTCACGATTCTATATATCGACTTACCCTGACTTACCACACTCGCGCTCGGCGAGATGGACTTAGTCAGGTTGGACACTTGACTCACTTTTGAAAGTGACCAAGAGGTCAAGTATGGGCAAAATCCTCAACCGAAGGAAAAAACATTTCAATGATGAACAGCAGTAGATTTATTTCGAAATGATAATACTGGTGTAGAATAAATGAAAGCAGATAAAGAGAAAACTATGCTAATACAAACATTTGCGTCACTGAGACAGAAATTGAACCCCACAAAGCATTTCCCCATAGCTATTGATTTACTTCGCACTGATGGAATCAGCAGCTTTGCCCACCTCCTGAGCTCCAGCTTTAGCATAACCGCCACTTTTAAGTTTCAAATCCTCCAACTCTTTTGTAGTTTTATCCATCATGTTCTGTGCAGTGGACTGTAGATCACTGGTCTTTTGCACAGCGGCGTCTTGCGCGTTCTTTGCAGCGTCACCGACTTGTTCTGTCAACGGCTTGGATGAAGTTTGCTCATCCATTTTTTGTTCGGCTGATGCCACAAGACTGAAAACTTGGGTCAGCCTCATATATGTGCAAGTATCAGAATAAATTTCGACTTACTTTTGGGCTTGACCAATGGCGCTCGCCGCCAAATTTCGTGCCTTGTCTACATATGACTCTTGACCAGCCGCACTGTCAGTCTTGCTTTCAGCTTCTGATTTCAAGTCCTTTGCTTTGTCTTTAGCATCTTCTGCTGCTCCTTCAGCTTTCGACTGCCCAGCAGCAACATAACTAAGAATTGGAAAAAAGCTTATGTCAGACGCAATGCTTTTTCAAATGATACGAGGACATGAAATCAAGCCTCACCTCTTAACCGTCCCTAGTGCCTCGCCCGTAAGGTCGCGAGCCTGGTTGACGAGTCCGCCGAGAGTCTGACCACCAGTCGCGTTGTCTGCCTCCGATACTGCCTTGTCTTTCGTTTCGGCCGCCTTAGTTTGCGCAAGACCAGCAGTCTCTTTGACGTATTGAATTGTATTCGATGCTAGAGCTGTAGCCTGCTCGATTAGGCTCTGAAAAATATCGAGTAGCAAAATGAGTCGCATGCATAGAATACAGCAGAAAATGAGAACTTACATTCCCGTGTGCCTTTGCGGTGTCTGCTGCGTCACCAGCTTTAGATTTGGCTTCATCGGTAAGCTCTTGGGTCTATTGCAGAGAGCCTCAGTCAAATGCAACTCAAAGTAGACATCATACACATGACGATCCGTTAAGCTTGTCGCTCACCTTGTCTTTCGCTGAGGAAACGTTGCTCTCAGCGGTCTCTTTTGCTGAGGCAGCCTGATCACTTGCTTTGTCTTTGGCTGAGTTGGCTTGGTCGCCCGCTTTGTCCTTTGCAGAACTGGCTTCGTTTTTGGCTTTGTCGACTGTACTTGAACCGGAGTCAGTAGCTTCCTGTCCTTTCTTCTGAGCGACACCAGCAGTTTCCTTGGCTGCATCAACCGCGTCAGAAGCTAATGAAGCGGCCCGGTTGTAAAGGTCCTATAGTTTGGTACGAAAGTTCAAGTAGGAAGAATTCAATTTCGGCCCGAAAGGTTTGGAAGTTAGAAGAGAAAGGAGATTGGGTGATCTCTATCAATAATCAATCTAACGTACTTTTCCAGATTCTTGGGCCTGGTCACTAGCTTGACCTCCTTTCTTTTGAGCATCTTTCGATACATTGTTGGCCTATAGACGTAAAGTAGAACATCAAAGCGATGTTAATAATTGTTGATAGATGTCTCATTGGGGTCAACACGAGATAAAGTGAAAGATCCAACCATATCCCCAGCTTTTTCTGAAGTGTTTGTAGGCATAATGTTTGAGATAAGAAGTTAAGGAAGTATTGGGTGGTTTAAATTGAAATGTGGTAAGTAAAAGTGGGTGAGCACTGAGATGAAGACGATGGAGAGTAAGGATGGAAATAAGTAGTCGACTGATTGGCTTTGAAAGGGGGTGAATGGTGAAGTCTTTTGTAATGTTCTTTATAAATAATTTCCTTTCTTGAATCTCAACTCTCAAACCGGTTTTGCGTCATGACCACCGGCTTTGGTCGATTGCCAAAGCCGAACAATGACGTCATATTGCTCAAGTCTCATTTACTATGACTCATTGATGAGTTCTACAATTTTATTAAGACCGAAACCAAACAATTTGGCCCGCGATCATTTTTTTTTTTTTTTTCTTTCATTGCTTTAAGTGTTTTTTCAGCCGTTAGGCTATCAAACACTGCATATATGTTCCAGCACCGGTAAAACCCCTCTGGCTGTGTCAGGGGAAAGGTTGCTGTTGGCTGTTTCATCTAAGTATACAAGTGTGATAGGGAACATGTGATAGGGCGGTGAAGTATGGAGAAAAGAAATTAATCTTGAGGTTCTTGAGGTTCTTTGAGGTTGTTGGGGCGGTTTTCGTCTGAGATTTTCGCCCAGACCCATCGATTGGTGAAACGCCAAGTGGCGTTGCAGAAGGTGGCGGTGGCCTTGAAGGTGCTCGGAGTCGATAGGACACGTTTGTCCATCCTGAAGGTTTTTTGCTCGGATAAGCCTTGTTGCTCGACATCGCGCTCGTAAGCGGCTCGTGCCTGTGCGTGATTTTTGCATACAAAAAGGAAGTGGTCAACGGTTTCAACCCCCTCCAGGCAGCTGCAGGAAGGGTCGACTGGTTGTTGAAAGCGGAAAAGATAGGCGTTAAGAGGGACGTGGCCAGAACGTAGCTGGGTAAGTGTTGCGATTTCGTGTTTCTTGAGGGCCTCCAACCCGTCGAGGTGTTTCCTCCCGTTGGGTTTGTGACCTAGGCGTTCGATGTCTTTTTCGTTGAAAGACTCGGTCTGTTCCTTCCGCCATTCCTTGATGGCGGAGAGGAAAGCGGCGGTATTTGGGGTGTTGGTGAAGGTGGTTGGCAGGTCGCGCTTCGCCAAGGTGTTTGCGATCTTGTCCGCTTTTTCGTTGCCGGGGATGCCTTTGTGGCCTGGGCACCACCTGATAACGACGCGAAGTTGAGGATAGCTGTGTAGAATGCATTGCAGTTGCTTGAAGGTCGTGTGTCGATTATCTAGAGAAGAGACCGAAGATGAGTTTGAGTGGAGGTCTTTGACCACACCCTGATTATCAAGGATGATCGAAGCTCTGTGAGTGGCTGGTGTCGCCCTCTCGAGCGTCATTTTGAGGCCTAGTTGGACGCCGCGGTACTCAGCTTGATAGATCCCCTGGGTCCTAGCCGGTCCTAGTGCTGTCGAAGCGCTTTCACCCGAGTTTGCACACCAAGCTGCCGCTGCCGTGTTTTTGTTTGGGATTCTGGATCCATCCGTGTAGATGACGATATGTTGTGGTGACGGTTTTAGACGAAGAGTGTCGGAGATTGCCCGTTTCTCATCTTCTTGGAGAACTGTGGAGTAATTGGGTGGTCGAATGAGCGATGACGCGGGGTCGACTGGGAGTTGAACTGCGTATTCTTCGAAATGCTTGTAGAGCGGGTGTTCGAAGAAGATGTGGAAAGGATTTTTGTGACTCTTTGGGATGGATAGTTGAGCCTGCTGGATTATCTTAAACAAAGGGTGAGCCTTATTCTTAGTCAGTGAACGAGCCATAAAGCTTAACACTTTACTCTGATGGCGTATGTCTGGAGGAGTGAGGTAGAGGTCGTGTCGCAGGAAGACGATTGGGGTCGTTTTCATTGCGCCTAGCGCCGCTCGTGCGCAGGTGTTATCGATGATCGCAAGTTGTTCCGTGAAGTATTTCGGTGGTTCGGTGGGCAACCACGCCATAGCGCCGTAATCAATGGCGGCGTGGACCGTTGTAGTCATGAGTGTCTTGAGAAGTTTCGGGGGTATGCCCCAGCCCTGCTTGGCGAGGCCAGCGAGGAAACCAGCACGCTGTTTCCCCTTGGCGAGGACATCCGACCTGTGTTGTTTAAAAGATAATGATTTGTCAATTTTGATGCCCAGCCACTTGGCAAGAGGGGCTGGCTTCAGGCCCTTTCTTTCGGCAAAGTCGATGGTGGGGCAGGTGTCGGGGTCGATGTCTTGAAGGGCGAATAAAACCCAAAAGGTTTTCTTGATGTCGAAGATTGCGCCGTGGCGTTTGGCCCACTGCAGTTGTCTGAAAGACAGCGTCTGCATCTGGGAGCGGAGTTGGTGGGTGTCGAGCGCCGATGACAAAAGGACCACGTCATCGACAAAACCTAGCGCCGTGGCCGTAGGAATATTGTCAGTGATTGCCAAGAGCGATGAGTTATAGAGGAGATAAAGTAAGGGTGAAAGTGGGGATCCTTGTGGCAAGCCGTGGTCCAAGGTGAAGTCCTGGGACTCGAAGCCATTGAAGTTGAGTGTGGTTGACCGATCGGAGAGGAAGTCGTGTATAATGTCCAAAGTTTGGGTATTGATGCCCATTCGTTCGAGTGTGTCGAGGAGACGGGGGTGATGGACTGAGGGGAAAGCGGATTTGACGTCTGCAAAGAGAGCGCCAACCACTTTACCTTTCGCCCACTCACCCTTGATCCACGAGATGAGGTGGACCAAGGCCTCCTGGCTTGATCTGTCAGGTCGTCCGCCGTAGTGCCCGTTGTGAAGAAGCTGTAGCTTCTCGGCCTGTGCGGATAAATGGATGGTGAGCAGTTTTTCATAAAACTTTCCTAACGTCACCAGAAGAGCGATTGGTCGGTAGGAGCCTGCTTGAGTATAGTCGGATTTCCCCGGTTTGGGAATCATGACTGTGGTCGCTCGTTTCCATCCACTAGGGATGGTGCCTGTGATGGTGACACACTGAAAAAGGAATCGGACATGTGATTTCACCACATCCCAGACCATCCGCCAGACCCAGTTTTGGAGTTTGTCTGAGCCTGGTGCCTTCGTCGGTGGGCTATCGTTCACCACCGCACCTACCGATTCGTTAGTGATGAATTGGAGGAATGGAGGCGTGATCTCTGCTGAGGGTCGTTGGGAGCTTTTCAGCGGGAAGGTGAGGTGATTCGTGTCGTCCAAGTTGCAAGGTGCAGTCGCCACACACGTAGCTGAGAATAAGGCTTTAGCCTTTTCCTCATTTGACGTGCATGTCGTGCCGTCGGGCGTGATGAGAGTGCTGACGAGGGAGGACGCTTTGCGGCCCGAAGCGATCCGCTTGGCCTGGAAGAGATTTTGGTGGTCTATGTTCGACAGGTACTGTCGCCAGGAGCTCTCCTTGGCATGGTCGATGGCTTTGTTGAAGGCATTTCGCGCGTTGTTGTAGGCTGCACGATTGTCGGGAGTGTGGTGTTTCTTCAGGAGGCGGCGTGCTTTAGAAGCGGCTTTCCTGAGAGGTTCGAGGACGTCTGGTCGCCACCAGTGTTTGTGCTTCATATTTGAGGATTTCGGAGGTGAATGCTTATCCAAGGCGTCAACGACTGCCTTTCGTAGTGCTTCGTCGAAGGTGTCGATTTGTTGGCGTGTTAGGAGTGGCTGAAGTTTGGGAAGGGAGGTCATTAGCTCTGTTTTAAGTAGAATGGGTTCTACCTTTCGCCAGTTTCTTCGGCCAGAGGATTTGTCGCTAAGACTTGGTGTTGTTTGAGTGGAAAAGCACGTGACAAGGGCTTGATGATCGGATTGATGATTCAAGATGTCCTCGTTGTCGATAAAACAGGAGATCGTGGCATCGTCAAATTCTTCGTTGACCCAGACCAGGTCAATGGAGGTGCCAAGGGTGTCGTCGCGATGCAGGCCAAAGGTAGGTTGACCTTTCGGGGACCGTAGAGTGAGGCCCCACTCCGTCATCATCTCGATGAGGCGGTCTGCGTCCTTGTCAACGATTTTGCTATGTTCGGGGTTCCAGAGAGGGGAGTGAAGGTTGGAGTCGGTGGTGCATACCACCGGCAGAAGCTGTGTTTCGAGGTTTGACGTCTTGAGGATGTCGGTGAAAGCGATGAATCCGTCAAGAGTCTTGTGTGGGTTGTATACACTCGCCACCAAGACCTTGAAACCATCAATCGTAAGGACGCCGGCGGCGACGTTCCTCGACGTATG